AGAAGGAATATTTTCTGTAATAAAAGGAGTTTTCGTTTTAACCAACATCTTGAATTGACATATTAGAAATGGCCTCTATTTATCACAGGTAAACAACATGATAAACAGATCGACTCGTGTACACCTCATGTGCTTTATTCAGTATTAAATGTTAATAATGCGAGTTTGTATGTCATTTTCCTTGCTATTTATAGCCATACTACTAAAAGCAGCAGCATATAGTTCACCTCAGATCTTAAAAAATAAAATAAACCGTCTGAAATCGAACTTCAGAACTGTGAAATACTGCAAACCAACACATATCAGTGATTCAGCATGTACATTATTAAATGTTAAAGAGGTTTAATATGTATTAATTAGATTATAAACCTTACCATTTTGTGAGTAAGTGCATATTCTGTGCTTCTGAATGGTTGTATTTAAATTTCTGTCGTGTTTCGTCTGGTGCAAACAGCCAAATTGCTTATCACTGCAAATCTCCTCACGCAGTGTGTTATTAGGACACGCGGTTACAATGTAACCTGCTAACCTAATGTTTACGTTCGTAATATTTATTTGCTAATTGATTAACTCATGTAGAACTAAATCTGCGTCTCATTTCGGAGTCTGCTACTGTCCATCGGAGGTCGCATTTCGGTCACGGATGCATGCTTTGAGAGCCTTTCTAACTGAATGAATGGTATATGTGGTTTTCCAGCAAGGCAACCCAGAGTGCTGTAGTGCATATGGGTAAACTAGCAATGAGCGGGTTAAAAAAACCGGCATGGAACGCACATTTTCAGAGCATAATATCTGACTTGAGCATTGTTTTTTTAAATAAACAAGAATGTTCACATGACATGTTTCATCAATATCTGCAAACATATTATGGTATTTTTATGTTTTAAAAGAGTAAAAACAAAACTTACATACAGCACCTTTAATGACATGCAGAGATGAAATGATCTCCACAAAACTGCCAATGTGAGCTAACAAAATTATATGGTTAGTTTTTATTTCTTAGGGACTTAAAAAGCAAATGGACCCAGTGTTGCTTTAGCACTATTTTACCCAACTTCTGTCTCTCTTTATGTACATTACAAATATTCTTTTGTACATATAAGTTCATGTTTATTCAAATCTGTTCACTCTGATAAATGTTTTTGATTGTAAACATGTATGTAGTTTATCAGCACTTGTAAATTGAACAAATCAATGTGTTTTAGTAACCTCAGATGACCTTGTCACCTCATGCAAAACGTTTGACCAGCATGTGGGCATCTCTTGCATGTATGCAAGTTGTGGCTGCCCATGGTTAAGCCTATCTGCATCTTGCTCATGACAACTTTTACAAAACCTTGAACCCTTGTACACATGTGGACAAGTAAAGGTGATGCATGCCGTCTTTAGCCTCTGTTTAAGAACACACGGTTCGGATGTCATCAGTCTGCATTGCTCAGCTTATATGGGTTTATGAAATTGTAGTTCTTATAGACTGATTATGTTAATGAGAAAAGTCTGAAGATATAGACTGGCTATAGGCTGGTGTAAGCCATGTGATATTTGCATATGGTCAAGTGGTAGTTACTCATTTGTTTATGCTCATTTCATGCTGTCTGCTGGTGGTGATTAATACACAGATCTATGCTTCCTAGAATTGTCACACATGCTTCTGGAGTGATGCTGTGTAACACAGTCTCTGATTTCAGACTGGATCATTTAGAGAGATATTATTGCTGCAGTCTATTTAGACTGGCTAGTATCCTCAGGTCGGTCCCCCTAATTGATTTGCATGCAGAAATGAGTTGCATATTATTCATATGAAGGTATGTCGATAGCAGAAATACTCTTTCTCTGAAATCTACAGTGCATTTATGTTAAGTATCTTTATGTCTGTCTTAGGGGCAGTTGTGGCCTAATGGTTAGTAAGTTGGACTGGTAACCCAAAGTTTGCTTGTTCGATTCCTTGTCCTGGTAGGAATTAAAGATTGGGATAGTTAATGAAATGTACTCTCTCAATCTTTGATACCCAGCTAAAATTCCCAGCAATAGCTTCCCAGTGCTTCGGGTGTATGCTCACTGTGTTTGTTTTTTTGTGTGCTCACTCCTCACTCCATATGTGTGTGTGTGCACTTGGATGGGTTAAAAGCAGAGGAACAATTTTGATTATGGATAAAACCATACTTGATGAGGCTTACTTCACTTTCACTTACGTTTATGTGTTTGTACAGGTTTAGCTATATTTGTGAGGGCTCAATTGTCCTCATTAATATAGTGAATTATCAAAATAACCCATCGGTCCTCATTACAGCTTCCCACTAATTAAAAATACTTATAAATAGTTTTTTTTAAAAACTTTTTTATTAGTGTGAGAGTTGGGTTTAGGGTTAGGGATAGGTTTAGGCAATAAACAGTATCATTAACCTGGTATAAAAACAATGGACGTCTATTTAATGTCCTCACTAAAATGTGTGTGCGTGTGTGTGTGTGCATGCCTTCTGTTTCAGACCTTTACTTTGACATTTCCTTGAGCGAGAATGATGTCGACTGAAACTTTGTTTAAAGGCCTGTTCACACTGGGACGTTTTTTGCTTGCGTTGCCCGTCAACTTGTAATGCCTCGTGACTCAATAAATGGCGGCAATGTGATTGTGCATACAATTGCGCAAAACGCCAGGCTTAAAGGCGGCATTTTTAAAGAAACGGCTCATGCTCGTTTTTTTGTTTTGCATCAAAACCTTCTCCAATTAGATTGGCACTTTTGTTCATGTGCACGAAGCTGCTGAAGTTACAGTAAACAGCACTTGGAGGCACTCAAGCGCAGAACTGTCAATGCGAGCACACATTGATGAAGATGCCCAATTGTGCCAAACTAGATGACTAGATGATGAAGATGGGGGCATTTTGCCAAAACTAATTTTGAAATTATCCTTATTAAAATTTTCAAATAATAATAATAAAAAAAAATAAAAAATTATACCACCCCTTTACCTCCATTGACCATTTGATTGATCCGTTGCAGCTTGATATTACTGCATTTGCTCGGTTAGTCACATGTTCAAAATGAAGAGACATGGAGCGCAAAATAGAAAACGAAAAAAAAAGACAAACAATGTCTTAAAATGAAAACTGCTATGACAAACTGTATAATAAGAGATTGGTAAGCTTAACCCAAAGTATTTTGCTATACTTTTAATCAACTTCTAATGTTTTTTAAGCCATATCTTTAATGTTTTGTCCAGGCAGGGGTACAGTGACACACGGCCACAACTGGACTGCGTCCCAAATCACATACTTCTATAATTACTAGTTTATATACTTAATTATAACGATTCTTAACCCTGTTAAAACTGATACATGAACAAATGGTCAGAATATTCACATTTTTTGGAACTAAAATGTTTATTAATCCTTCAAGATCCATTTTTATACCATATACATGTTTTTATATTTTTTATTATGCATCATATTGATACATCAGGCCTTTTGGTAACTTTGTTTGCTCAAAACTATTTTAATTTTACTTGCAAAAAAGGCATGTCAAAGTGCTATGATCATTTGATGTGGAAAATTTAATTGAGAAGCTATTTGGGTTGGGATGAGATGTAATTCTTTGTGACTTAACAAGCCTAATGTAATTATACTTTTACTACTTTATGCTACTTCAGTTGTGTTCAGAACTGCGAAATGTTTTTGTTTGAAGCATGTTGATGAGGAAAAAATATCCTTAATATATTGATGAAAATATTTTGTCACTCTCATTCATTCATTCATTTTCTTGTCGGCTTAGTCCCTTTTTTAATCCGGGGTTGCCACAGCGGAATGAACCGCCAACTTATCCAGCAAGTTTTTACGCAGCTGATGCCCTTCCAGCCGCAACCTATCTCTGGGAAGCATCCACACACATTTATTCACACAAACACTCATACACTACGGACAATTTAGCCTACCCAGTTCACCTGTACCGCATGTCTTTGGACTGTGGGGGAAACCGGAACACCCGGAGGAAACCTACGCGAAGGCAAACATGCAAACTCCACACAGAAACGCCAAATGAGCTGAGGCTCGAACCAGAGACCTTCTTGTTGTGAGGCGACAGCACTACCTACTGCGCAAAACTTGAACCCTCTTACCCCTCAGTATATGTGCAGTTGTGCCCCTGCGTGGAGCTGCTTATGCACTGGTGAACAATAATCATTTCTTCATCGCTAGAGCTGGAGCTGCTACTTGAACCATCCATTTTTGTTCGAATCCAGTAGCTTTAACAACAAGCGTGACAACTTTGTCTTCTTCTTCTGTTACAAGTGGGTGGCAGAAGCTTAAAATTGTGTAGCACCATCTAATGTCAAAGAGTGATTTTGCATACTGTTCTGCTCGACGCCAGTAGAAATTGCTTGGGTTTGAATCCGGAAAAACGCTGACGATTAACGCAAACGAAAAGCATCCCGATGTGTACAAGCCTTAACACCACTCCTATAAAGGGTACACTTGGTACCCTTTGGCAGTGGAGACACAAGCTTGATAAAGGTGACCCGTACCTTACCTGACCAATCTGAACCGAACCACTGAGTGAAATCGAGGCATTAGCAAAGCAACACAAAAAGCTTCTTTGGAATTAAATTGAATGTTGTCATTTAGAATATATATTTATTATAACTATTAAAATGACACTGGTCTATATATCTTATTTATTTCTACACATTTGATAGAAAGTGTAGAAAAAAAAAGTATGGTCATCAGACCACAGAATCTGAGCCATCATTCATGATGACTGGAGCACAAACAGTGTGGAACGAGATGCACAATTAAGTTAAGTGTATACAGCAGATTAAGGGTTTCATTCTAATCATAATATAGACTTCTACCTTTGCTAACACCACTTGTTATTCCAAAATAAGTGTCAGTATAATGCAAGATCGCAGCATAGGCTCTGCTGCGGTGAGCCGTAACGATCAGATGCACACTAACTGTTTAGTAAATGCACTTGTGTCTGATGAGTTCATGTTATTTTTCATCCTCCAGGCTGTTGAGACGTCTGGCCACACTGCTGTCTCAGCAGGCTACACTGATGGCCTCTCATGAAGCCTTCCAAAAGCAGGCGGAGGGAGCAAATGATGCCGCCAAGAAATACATGGAGGAAAATGAGAAACTGCAGGAGGTGAGAGAGTTGTGCATGACAGTGTCGGTCCGATATTAAAGCTTTTTTTCAGGACTCCAGGGGCTTCTAAGAAATGGTAACCTGGAACCTGGTTAATGACCAATGGTGTAATTTATAGGAAATGTTGACGGGCCAACTACAGTGGTGACTCTGATGAAAGGGATACTAAAGGTGCTCCAAATGTCTTTATGGTTTAACCTTTTGATCTTGCTTAGAATATTAACCAAACAAAAAAAAAAAAAAAACAGAACAAACTTGCTTGTTTTGGATGAAAGTGGTGTTTTTTTTTTTTTTTTTTAACTCTTTCAAATATTATACCCAAATGGAATCTGTGCACACACAAATCTGCAGATTGTATTATTTTTTTTCCTAAAATAGCATTACACTGCACATCACAGATATGATGCACTTGTTGGAAAAATATTAAATAAGAACCCAGTCCTGGAGACTCATTTTAAGCGGATTTTCTTTTTTTTTAAGACGTGTTGGTTGTTTTGCAGTCAAACAGTGTCTTCAAGAAGTCTTATAGTCTGCAAGTCCAAAGCAAGTCTTAGAAACAAGTTTGATTTGAGAGAAAGCTGTCCTGTCTATAAAAGGTTTTTAGGAGGGGCTGTGTATAAAAAAACGGGCATTACAATTTCAAGTTGAACCAAAATCTTGTTTTACGGTCTTGAATAGATTCTAAGGTTTCACTTGCCCTGACCAGCTTGAAAGTATCACCCAAAAACAAAGGCACAGTCGTTGAGACCCTGTCTTAGCGTTTGCATCACGTTGACTCAGGAAAGTGCTCAACATCACCAGTGCTCAGGAAGAAAAAGGTTAACGCCCTGGCTACTAGAGTTTTGAATGAAATTATAGAATTAAAAACCAAAGAATATGACTTTTCAGTTTATATATATACACACACACACACACACACACACACACACACACACACACACACACACACACACACACACACACACACACACACACACACACACACACAGTTGCTAAAATAGTCCAGTCTGTTGACATTATCGGGGGACAATGTGGACCTTAATCTTTTGAATGATGTGAGCTGAGAGTGCAATGCAATCTCACAGCAATTCATAACTTTTTGATTTATTGGCTTTGGACAATGATGTTTTGGCACACACATACACACAAAGCGCGCAGGACAGGGCAGCCGGAGCGACTCCCTTGAGATTTAACACGCATGACCGCGTTCATCAAAGTTGCTTAAACTAAGCATTCTGAAGTATGGCTGTCTTTCACAAGGATTCTGACACAGCAATGCGAAGCAGACGCTTTACAAAAGTTGCGTTTTAAGGGAGGAAACGTGTCAAACCCAGTAAACATTAGAGGGCGCATGCTGATAGGCAGAGGAATGCGCTGTCTTTGACAGCTCGCGACTTCATCTGGCACTTTCTGAGTACATTTACATAAAGCACCAATACTCCGATTTTAATATGATTAAAATAATACTCTTATTAAGAGTCTACCATGTAAACAGCGATTTTTGATTACCTTAAAGGACCACCGAGTCACGAAATGAGAGGTTTTTTCTTTCCGTTTGCCAAGTGGTATCAAATTCCATTTAAAACAAGTCGAAAGTTAAAAATGAAACTTACGAAATTGCATGAAACTCTGGAGGAAACACTTGATAGCCTGGTGATGCAACATTAACTGTTTTATACTGAAAGTTTCCTTAAAAAAGTGCTTCCTTGGTCTTATCCATATTTCTTTGCATGTTGAACACACATCGACCACAACAGGAAATAAAAAAAAAAGACTGCAACCGCGTTAATTGCATAAATTTTTTTAACGCGTTTAATATTTCAAATTAAGCGCATGCGTGTTGTTGAAGGCAAATTTGGTCTGAAAGGAATTCCAAACAGTGCTGTTAGATGGTTTGGAGTGATATTAAAAGTTTTTCTCCAAAAATATCAAATATTTTAGACCAGTCTGTCAATCTTGGACCAAAACATATGCATGTGATTTGCTGGGAATTGCTGACACCTATCTGGGTGTCCATCGTAATTTCTATCCATGCATTTAGGATAGGACTCTGTTTTGACGGTCATATTTTGGTAGTACTCTTTTTAACATTCACCAACAAAATCTCATTTTAACCATTTCGTTTTCTAATACACACTTCTCCATTTTAAAAGCTCAACAACCTTTTGCGGCAAATCACAGATGTGTTTGGTCTTATCCATTGTGATGAATAACTGTTTGGACTCTTTTATTTTTAAAATCATATTTATACCCTTGTGAAGCTATTTGAACAATGACCTGTTCATACCAGGTGTACATTGCAATGGAAAATACCTAAAAGATATTTTCCTATTTATTGTTGCATACACAAATTTAACCAAAATATCCGTGTTTTTTGATGAACTGTGCTGTTTGCAATTGTTTGTTCCCAATAAATGCAAGATACATTCTTTTTTGTTAATATTTTGAGCAAAAGATCAAAAGGCTAAACAACAATACATTATTCATATATTTATGAAGGGTGCCAATATTAGTAAAGGGCCCTGAAGTAAACATCCACCCAAAACTGACTGTTCTGTCATTTATTTATCTGACTAACACAAAAGATGAAGTTGGTAAGCTGATCTAGTTCTCCAGCCAAGAGCGTGAGAATGAATAAACTAATCATTTGTGGATGAATTGTGCCTTCAGTGACTGGTGACTTGTTTGTGTAGATGGTGTTATGTCATAGTTTCTTATGTGTCAGTTTGGTTTGTTAGGTGTTCTCCATCTTTCAGTCCTCAGGGAAATGTTGCTCATCAACATCAGTGTATTATAAATGTTGACCTCTAGAGGGCAGAGTTTAACAATATGACCAGAAACAGGTTTGCAGACTATATTTGGAAGCATCCAAAATGAGCACTCACCTACTTGCAAAATGCTTGTCAGATAGTTAGTTAAGATTAAATGATGGCTTTCTGGCTATTATTATTATTATTATTATTATTATTATTGTTGTTGTTGTTGTTGTTGTTGTTGTTGTTGTTGTTGTTGTTGTTATCATCACTATTATTAGAACATTATCATCATTTCTATTACTATACTATTATTGCTAGTAGAAGTAGTGGTAGTAGTATTTTTAGTAGTACTGTAGTATTTTTTCATGTTGGTAAGAAATATAAATAGCTATTAAATGGCAAAAATAATCATCTGTTTTATTCAATCTAAAATAGCATAGAAATATATTTGTAATATAAAACATAATATAGGAAAAGTTAGGATTATATTGATTGATATAAAATTAAAATAATACAAATAAATGAAACAAGCATTATAATAATGATACAAAGTATTTTTGCAATGCTAAAATAACACTGATATGTTTTAAATTTTAAGATACTACTTTTTTCTATCATGCTAAACTTAATTTTTTTATTATTATTACTTTTTAATGTCTCATGATGCTTCAGAAAACGGTCTACTATGATGATTAGGCGATCAAGCATTGTTTTCTGATAATTATCGATATAAAAGGCTTTATTGTGCCTTTTTAATGCATCAGTGATGGGAAAAGGTATTAATTTCTTTAATAAAATACTGACCCAAACGTCATGATTGTAAAAATGTATGCTTGTTTATGTGTTAATGGTTATTGTAGAGTTTCTAGAAATATAACAAATAATTATATGTAGATTTTTCTGGAAGTGGATAGGAATTAGAGGTGTTTGAGACTAGCTGACTAAACACTGCTAATGCTGCTTACTGATCAATTTATATTTTTATAGCTTGTTTAACAAGGGCTACATTACAAATTACACATCTCTAGTAGAAATAGATAAAGTATTGCAAATTAGAAAATGTAAAGGTAGAAAGCAAAATGTTTGTTCTAAAAATAAACGTTTCTACACTGCCTGACAAAAGTCTCGTCGTCGATCCCAGTTGTAAAAGCAACAAATAATAACTTGACTTGTTTGTTGAACATTTGGAAAAGTGTCTGAAGGTAGATTTTTCTGATGAACCATCTGTTGAACTGCATTCCAATCATCACAAATACTGCAGAAGACCTACTGGAACTCACATGGACCCAAGATTGTCACCAAAATCAGTCAAGTTTGGTAAAGGAAAAATCATGGTTTAGGGTTACATTCAGTATGTGCTCATACAAGAGATCTGCAAAGTTGATGGCAACATCAGCAGCCTGAGACATCAAGACATTTGTGCTGCCCATTACATTACAAACCACATGAGAGGGCAAATTCTTTAGCAGGATAGCGCTCCTTCTCATACTTCAGCCTCCACATCAAGATTCCTGAAAGGAAAGAAGGTCAAGGTGCAGCCTAGTCACCAGACATGAACATTATTGAGCATGTCTGGGGTAAGATGGAGAAGGCATTGAAGATGGATCCAAAGAATCTTGATGAACTCTGGAAGTCATGCAAGAACACTTTCTTTGCCATTCCAGATGACTTTATTAATAAGTTATTTGAGTCTTTGCAGAGATGTATGGATGCAGTCCTCCAAGCTCATGGGAGTCAGACACAATATTAATTCTTTCTCCACTTCACCAAGATTTTATATTCTATACTAAACTTTATTTATGTTAAGTGACTAGACTCGCTAAGCAAAGTCAGGCCTTACTGTCCTAATTAAATATTTAAAAATCAAGGCATGATTATATTTTATTTAGACAAGACTTTTGCCAGGTATGTAGCTATACTTCTAACATTGAGTTTCATAATTAACAAAGAGGACATCTGAAATAGGGCAAGTAACCAAAAGGGTGGAGTTTAGAGATTTTGGTTTAGTTGAGGTTTGGTTTGTAACTGCCAGGTTATAGTTTATTGACTATCTTTCGATGTTGTGCCCTTAAGGGAACTAAACCTATTTGTGTCTGATGGACTTCCAGGGAAATTCAAGGGAATTGCCAGTCACATCTGTTAGATAATCTGATAGTGTAAATGGGAACTATAGTTCTGTAGATCAGTTCCACATTAACAGGTCTCTTTAAATCCAGTGAAAGAAGAAAGTTCTGAGTGTTCCGT